AACCTTTTGTCGTTCCGGATCTCCTTTTGGAGATAAGGGGGCATCTTGCGGAGGTATGAGAGATACAACTCTCGAGGGGTCTTCCCGAGACCTACTGCCTCAAGGTCCGCGATCGAGGCCTCAAACAAAGGCTCGAATTGGTGGCCTGTGAGCTTACCCTTAGCGAGGGAGGCGTGCTCACCATCCACGCGGACTTCTCTTTCCTCCCGCGATTCCCCGAACATCAAGTGTTTGTTCTTGATTCGGTCATACACCGCCTGTGGATCTGAGAGAACCTCTCCCGATTTCCACGCTGCGCGGTACGCGTTCGTGTACGTCTTCATGCGCGAGCCGCGGCAGCGCCCGCGTAGCGCTAACAGCTTTTCGCGCGCACTCATACCGCGACAGTTGTTGGCCAGCGCGCAGACGTCCTCGAACTCCTCGTAGAACAGGACAACGTCTCGCGCGTCCGACTTGTCGTCGGTCAGCGTCGGCCACGTGAGGTCAGTTTTGACCGTAGTTATGGAGCTTTGCCCGCCCCTCTGCGCTAACGCTTCTTTCAGCGCCTCAGTTTGGGCGGCGAGTGCGGCGGCGAGATCGCCCGCCGGGTGTTGGGACCCGGTCTGCGAACCTCCGCCGTCTGAACCTCGCTTCAGGGCTTCTATCTCCATCTCTAGCGCAGCAAGCTTCGCGCGCAAAGGGGAATCCCCGTCCGTCGCGCCCAGGACACGGGCCGCGGAAGGACCACCTGCAGCCTCAGCAGTGTGCAAACCTCCACGGTCCAATCCTACCCCCAACCCACTTGCAGTCGCAGGCTGTGGGAGCCCTGGGGAACGCGGCCCCACGGCTTCAACTGGCACATCGGACGGGGAGCTCCAAACCTTCTCTTGGCTCGAGCTTTCTTTTCCCCCTAACGCGAGGATAAGCTCCCCGATGCATTGGATTTCGCGCTGAATCTCCTCTGCGTCTTCGGGGTCCTCGCCACCGCGCAAAGCCGCGACCGAGAACCTGGTCCGCAGCCGACAGACCATCTTCGTAGGATGCCAGTCCCCGCCTATCTTGGAGAACTCCTCCGCAAGGAGGGTGGCTTTGGTGCTTAAGGCGTCAAGGTCACGGGAGCTCACCGTGACTCCATGCGCTTTCAGCGCGAGGACAATCCGCGAAACGCGCGTCAAGTAGTCCGCGACCGGTTCTTGGTCTGGACGGAAAATCGCGCGCAGCTCCGCCTGCAGGCCCTCTGCGGTGCCTGGCACTGAACCTGCTGTCGACGGCGGACCGGACGGTCCCGCCGGGCGGGACCCTGGTGCCGTAGCAGGGACATAGGCAGCACCGGTAGGGACCATGGCCAGCTCCCTAGCCGCGGCGCTGACGTCGACCCGCGGCGGACTGTCGCCTCCAGCGCCCGAGGCTTCAGGGACTAGCTCGGAGTCCTCTTCTTCTTCCTCCTCATCCTCGTCCTCCTCTTCGGCGTCATGGAGGAACTTCATGACTTTCCGCCAGAGAGCCGCCTCTTGCTCTGGCGTAGTGCTGACCCCATCCCGCTTGGACAATGGCCGGCTGCCAGTCTCCCTACGCCACTTAAGCCAAGCGACGTAGCTCATCCGCTCGGGATAGGGAACGTCTCCACCCTCGATGGCTTCGAGGAGGGTGACGCCCTCAGCCTGACCTGCAACCTCTGCGGACATTGCTGCAACACGAGGCGAAAAGCCGCGCCTTGGTTAGCAGGCCGCAGGCGTGGCACGCGAAGCACCGCGCCTTGGTTAACAGGCCGCAAGCGTGGCACACAGTCCACGCGTCCAGGTCACGGACCGCGACAGACAAGCAAAGCAATGCTTGCCCACTCGGGCCGTAGGCACAAGAGCTGTACGTTTCCCAGAACAGCCCCCAATTGTGAAGTCGACCAGCACTGGACTTGCACTAAGCCAATGCAATCACAGCCCGGTCACGCTGTTTTACGACTTCGCGAGTCCAAGCACTTGTGCAGCTACGCCTGAGTGCGTCCGGTCGGACCGCACAGCAACCTAAGAGCTACTGTACGACTCTACCGTGCTCAAAGGCACAAGCTCGGTACTTGAGCCAAAATATTGGCATTGATACTAATTGCAAAACTACACATGCAAAGGAACAACAGCTACAGCACTGACTGACAGCAAGCACTGCATTCATGCTTTGACCTGCTCACATATTCATTATATAGTATATTTTATATATTATGTAGTATGTATTATATATTGTTCTTTGAAGCCATTGGAATGCAAAGAAAATGGAAGTTTTTTGCTTAAAACATGTAGAAGTAGAGTTTTTCCGATGGAAACATAGAGATAATAGAGGATTTCTCATGAAAACGTGAAGACAGTAGACGTTTTCTTGTGGGAGTATGAAGAAATAGAGGTTTTCCCATTGAAAGATCGAGAAACTAGAAGGTTTTCCAACCACTACCACCACTTCTACGCATCGTGCGAACATTGTTTGCAAATGGGGGGGGCTGCGCCCCCCCCCAACCCCCCCGCTGTTTTTTTTAAGCTGTGCAAAGCGTGCTGCAAAGCCAAGTGGGGGGGTGTGGGGGGGGGGGGCTGCGCCAACCCCAACCCCGCCGCGTTTTTATCAAGCTGTGCCACTGCAAAGCGTGCTTTATGAATCTTGTTGAAGCCATTGGGATACTAAAAGTTTAAGTTTTTTCTTAAAATACATGCAAATAGAGGTTTTCCGATGGAAACATAGAGATGATAGAGGTTTCCTATGAAAACGTGAAGAAAATAGAGGTTTTCGAGAAAATAGAAGGTTTTCCAACCACTACCACCACCCACTACTACCCATCGTGCGAGCATTGTGTTTGCAAGTGGGGGCCCCCCCCCCCCCCCCCCCCCCCCCCCCCCCCCCCCCCCCCCCCCCCCCCCCCCCCCCCCCCCCCCCCCCTCCCCAACCCCGCTTCCAAGAGGAAAATGGGTTAATTTTTTTTTTGATGCTTATTTATTTTTTTTTGATCCCTTGGGGTTATTTTTTTTTGATGCTTATTTATTTTTTTTGATCCTTCACCCACCATATACCCTGACATGGCCCCCTAAAGTATGGTTTCCTTCTCCTTTTTTAATTACTATTTGCTAAGAACCCCCAAGAAATACAGAAGATAACAAACCCTATATTGCCCTCATAAGGAAGAATACTTTTTTACTTGTCCTTTTTTGGTTAAGCAAGTAGTATTAGTAACACATACGACGGGTACGAGTTACAGCGTTGTTCTGGGGGAAGCGGCTCTGATGCTTGTGTTTGTTGCGGTGTTTATCCCGGTTTAAGGTTTAGGGTTGTTCGCACACAGGGGCGAAGCCTGGCATGGTCGGCACTGTATCCCCCTTGCATTACTCATACGTATTCTGCAGCTCTGGGCCGTAAACCCTAAACCCGAAACCCTAAACCCTTTGCACTCGGTTGGATCTTGGGTTCACCTAATCAGCAGATTGGAAACTGCTCTGCGCGCCTTGTCAACGTTGCCTGACATGTGAGCTTTCTCCTATTCCCTGTTTTGGTCTTGGACGATCCTTCTCACGATGACTTTCACTTCCAACTCTCGTTCCGCGCCAACAGCCTGAAGCTTTCGAGCTTCCACTGCCCACAGCGCGGGCAGTATATCCTGAACCGTAAACCCGAATCCCTATAAACCTTAACTTTAAGCCTCCATGGGCTTTCGTGTCTGCCCTTTACAAGAAGGAGGTCTTCGTAGGGAGCCAGAGGTAGACAAGAGCACTCATCATCCGTGGCTAAAGCCCTAAGCCCTACACCTTAAATGGAGGTTCATGGATACCTATGAGTAGGGTTAGAAGAAGGGTAACTATGTTTGCAAGCTATTTAAGCGAACCCTAACCTAGATCCCAAGACCCCAAACCCTAGACCCCAAACCCTAAACCCTAAACCCTAATCCTCCCTAAGTCCTAAACCCTAAACCCTAAACCCTAAACCCTAACCCCCTAAACCCTAAACCCTAAACCCTAAAGCCTGAACCCCCAAGCAACCGAAGTGTATGCGGCGAGGGGTAGGGAGCGCGGCAGGCACGCCGATGGTCTCTGGAACGTCCTGAAAGCGCCTCTGGCCAGACCCTGAGGGTTCAAGGTTTAGGGTTTAGGGCTAGAGTTTGGGGTTTGGGGTTTAGGGTTTAGGGTTTAGGGTTTAGGGCTAGAGTTTGGGGTTAGGGGTTTAGGGTTTAGGGTTTAGGGTGTTAGGAAGTAGGGCCTAGGGTTTCAGCTCTCGCATTTAGGGTTTAGACTAACCTACGTACCCCGAAACGAGGGAGACGTCCTGAGTCTTTGGTGCACAGTGTACATCACCCTTTAAACGTATGAAGGTCACTCGACTTTAAGGTTCGGAAGCAGGTCCGAAAGGACCCCGCAAGAAGGCTGTAACCACTTTGTAGCTCCAGCTACCCTATTTTAGAACCACAGTTACATCTAACCATGAACATCCAAGTAGGTGCTTCACCAAAGGGGAGAGTGTCTCCCTCAACTCCACACCCTGAACTGTAGGGTTTGTGTTGGGGTTTAGGGTTTAGGGTTTAGGGTTTAGGGTTTAGGGTTTAGGGTTTAGGGTTTAGGGTTTAGGGTTTAGGGTTTAGGGTTTAGGGTTTAGGGTTTAGACCAGGATCTTGCCGTCACTGCGGTGCCCGGCCAGCTGCTTTCCCGCTTCGCCAAGGAGTTCTTGGGTTAGGGCTTAGGGTTTAGGGCTAGGGTTTAGGTTTTAGGGCTTAGGGTTTAGGGCTTTAGGGTTTAGGTTTTAGGGTTTAGGGTTTAGGGTTTAGGGTTCAGGGTTTAGGGTCTATAGGGTTCAGGGTTCAGGGTTTGGGGTCGAAGCGTTGCGCGCGTGCAGCAGGTGTCCTGGGTAGGAACATACATGAGTTGCCTAAAGTCACCATGAGCGGGGTTGTGTATACCATCCAAAAGGTGGTAACATGATTCAAATTCCTCACCAGAGCCCACTAGCCTTTCGGAGCTACCTGATTAAGTAATGCCAACGTCTTCTACCTGCATCCCGGAATGCGAGTTCCCAAGCTGCTGGACATGTGACACATGTTCCCACTTTTCTGGGTGGGAGGATCCAAAAAGTAGAACCCAGAAATAACCCCCATGCATACTACTATTGGGTCATTCTTAGGAACCCCGCTAAAGGGGATCCACTTGTTGGATCCTCCCAGAGTTCGATGTTGAGACATGCAGTTTGGCATGTTCCCCCTTATACTAACAGTCCTAAGTAGGGATTCTTGTGACCCCTCCCCCCAATTGTAATCCCTATTAAGGACTGCTAGTATAAAGCTGGAACACCTAAACCCTAAACCCTAAACCCTAAGCCCTAAACCCCAAACCCTCAACCCTAAACCCTAAACCCTGTGTTTTTTTCTTTTGCTTGCTTGGCGCCTTCAGGACCTCGATGTGCTTGACTCCAGACTGCCCTCCCTTCTGGCGCAGGCAGGAGCAGTGTGGTCTGGTGTGTGTGTGTGTGTGTGGAAGGACCATGGAAGCTAAGATGGGGACCCTAAACCCTAAACCCTAAACCCTAAACCCCAAACCCTAAACCCTAAACCTCAAACCTCAAACCCTAAACCCTAAGCCCTATAAGCTCTATAAGCTCTATAAGCCCTAAACCCTAAACCCTATAAGCACCAATGCCCCCTGCATTTGCAGGCCTTAGCCTGCGTGGCCGCGCTCTTCAGCGCCTTGACGGCCATCGTCGTGAGCTCGCCCGGGCTGGCGCCCATGGCAGCCCTCTTGGCCTTGCTGATGTGGCTCTTGGCAACTTGGCCCAAGGGGGGTGGGTTTAGGGTTTAGGGTTTAGGGTTTAGGGTTTAGGGTTTAGGGTGCAGGGTTCAGGGTTCAGGGTGCAGGGTTCAGGGTTCAGGGTTTAGGGTTTAGGGTTTAGGTGTTTAGGTGTTCTCGGGTAGCCCAGTCGCACCTGGCACCCTTTTTCCGTTTTGTTGCTCCAAGGTTCCCCCCCCAAAAAAAGGGTACCCTTCTTGTAGTCTGGCTAGGGGTTCCGGGTAGCCCAGCGGCGCCCTTTTTCCCTTTTTGTGGCTTCAAGGTTTCCCTCATCAAAAAGTAACCAAGCCCTTCAAAACAAAGGGTGCCGCTATTGTAGTACGGCCTAAAAACCTAAGCCCTAAGCCCGAAACCCTAAGGGCCATGGCTACCCGGCCATCCTAGGCCCCTGAACCCTAAACCCCAAACCCGAAACCCTAAACCCTAAACCCTAAACCCCAAACCCTAAACCCTAAACCCTAAACCCTAAACCCTAAACCCTAAACCCTAACTCCGGGGCTGCCAAGGCAAAGTCCTACAGCCCCGTGGCCGCCGATGCGGCGAGGATGGTCTCCGTGCTCAATGGCCCCGTAGTCGCTCACCTACTGGAGTGTGTGGAGAGTCGGGCGTCTTGGCTTTCTTCTGGCTGGCTTTGAGGGTTTAGGGTTTAGGGCTTAGGGTTTAGGGTTTAGGGTTTAGGACTTTATAACCATTTAGGGTTTTGTAGAAACTTCGATAAGGGAGCAACAAAAAGTTACAAACTTCTAGGAGGGGGTTCATGACGTCAGCCCTAAACCCTAAACCCTAAACCCTAAACCCTACACCTTCTACCCTAAGGAGTACCTGCGCACCTTCGGGCAGCAGCCCCGGGCCGTGGCCCACGCGCTCTGCGTCTTGGAGGCCAGCGCCCGGGCGCAGATCCTGAACATGGGCCTCTTGACAGCCCAGTGGCAGGGTTTAGGGTTTAGGGTTTAGGGTTTAGGGTTTAGGGTTTAGGGTTTAGGGTTTAGGGTTGAGAGGGGCCCCTTGGGATCCCAGGTGGTGCCCCCCTTGTTACCTTCTGTTTTTTGGTTCAAGGCTCCTTTATGCAGTACCCAACCCAAAAAACGGGGTGCCCTTGTTAAAGTACCATAGGGCTCGGAATAATTACTAATGGTATTGTATCAGCATACCACAATCAGCCCCCCAAAAGCCCTGTTCTAATCATTAAGGCCCCTATTTGTACGGCTACCCCAGACCCTAAACCCTAAACCCTAAACCTTTAAACCCTAAACCCTAAACCCTAAACCCTAAACCGGCCACCAAGGCTTGCAGAGATGGTTCGCCTTACAGCTCGAGCTCATCGGCGGGGCCATGCTGCTGTGTGTGGCCGCGACTAGGACCCAGAGTTGGGCCCTTATTTCCTTTTTTGGGGGGGCTTAGGGTTTAGGGTTTAGGGTTTAGGGTTTAGAATTTAGGGCTACTAGGACCCAGAGTAGGCCCTTTGGGAGGGGGGGGGGGGTTAGGTTCCCTTTACAAACCCCTTTAGAAAAAGGGTACCTTTTTCATTCCTAGGCTACTCCTGGGTCCAGGTGACGATCGTCTTGCAGACGGATGCTCACCTGGGCATGTCGGGTCTTTCCCTCACTTATGTGCGAGCCTTAGCCTTTGGCAGAGTCGGGTAGCATCTTACATTTTCAGGGTACTTAAACTCAATGAGGAATATAAATTAGACTTTAATCTTATCCCTAAACCCGAAACCCTAAACCCTAAACCCGAAACCCTAAACCCTAAACCCTAAACCCGAAACCCTAAACCGAACTAGTAGCAGGCTTAGCATGAATCGGCTTTCGATTTTCGAAGCCTCATGCGCCCGGCGAAGGGTATTGAAACACACCTTTCAAACTAAAGCAGCAGGGAGGCAGCAGATACCCAGACCCCCTGGGAGGATCCAAAAAGTAGATCCCCTTTAAAGGGTTCCTAAAAACCTAGTAGCTGAGAGAGCACACTTTACAGTTTTTGGGATACTATAATCCCCTATAGAACTGAAAGTGTAGACTTTTTGGGGGGCCTTATGAACTCAGCCCTAAACCCTAAACCTAAACCCCAAGCCACCCAATAGTTAACAACAGTAGTATGGTAGCACCCTTGTGGGGGGTTCCTCCCTAAGGCCCCTTAAGAGGGGTTTAGGGTTTAGGGTTTAGGGTTTAGGGTTTAGGGTTTAGGGTTTAGGGTTTAGGGTTTAGGGTTTAGGGTTAGGGGCCTCCTGCGCCGGGCCCCTCCAACCCGGCACAGCGCAGCTGCCGAGGCTCTGACCCTGACGGCCCTGGCCAGGTGCCCAGTGCGACTCGAGATTTCCCCAAAAAAACGGTTTAGGGTTTAGGGTTTAGGGATTCTGGTTAGGGTTTAGGGTTTAGGGTTTAGGGTTTAGGGTTTAGGGTTTAGGGTTTAGGGTTTAGCTTTAGGGTTTAGGGTTTAGGGTTTAGGGTTTAGGGTTTAGGTGCCCCTTTTTCTACCCCTTTAGATGGAACAGAGTCTCCTTTAAGGGACCCCAGAAACTTGAAACAACTCAATCAGAGCACATGTCAGTCATTCTTTGTTTTCCGGCTGCGGTTTGCACTTTCCCTTGCAACCCGAAGCAAAACCCTTTCGAAATCCTAAACCCGAAATTCTGAAACCTAACCTCCTCCCCCCACCCCCTCCAAAACCCTAAACCCTAAACCCTAAACCCTAAACCCTAAACCCTAAACGCCCTGAACCCTAAACCCTAAACCCTAAACCCTAAACCCTCCTTCCCGTGCCTTAAGGCCAAGTACCTGGTGAACTACAGCACGCGATCTTCCGCTCAGATGGCCTCAGTGGAGCGCCTCTTGGCGCTTTCCGGGCTTCCCTCTGAGGAGGACGGCGCACTGTGGGGCTTAGGGTTTAGGGTTTAGGGTTTAGGGTTTAGAGTTTAGGGTTTAGGGTTTAGGGGTTTAGGGTTTAGGATTTGGGTTTAGGGATGCGGTTGTTGTGGTGTTGTAGGGGTGTTGTATGGGCAGCCACTGGGTTGTTGCTTGCCATCATCTGCTTCTTCAAGATCGGAACGCTGGTAGTTTCGCAAGTTGAGGGCACCCATTAACCCTAAGCCCCCAAAAGTCGTAAAGGCAGGAAACCCTAAAGCCTAAACCCCTAAAACCTAGAGCGAGCTTAGACATCTTGGGGGGCCCTGGCAGGAGGTCCACAGCAAGGCGCGCTTGCGACTTTGTGTTGGGCATGGGGGGCATCGTCAGGGCAAGGAAGACATTGGTAAGCAACAATTGGGTTTAGGGTTTAGGGTTAGGGTTTGGGGTTTAGTTTTGGGTTTAGTTTTGGGGTTCGTTTTTAGAATGCAGCAGTCTGACTTTGGGACGGGCTGCCCGGCTCTCCGGTATGGTGGTTCCTCAAATTTGTTGTTTCGAGGGGGGGTTAGGGTTTAGGTCTTAATTAGGGTTCAACTCGGTTCAACCCTAAACCCCAAACCCCAACCCCCAAACCCCAAACCCCAAACCCCAAACCCTAAACCCTAAACCCTAAACCGCTAGGGTTTATAGTATATATCATAGGAATCATAGACTTTGGGTCCAAGGGATCCAGGTTTTGGGGCTTTGGTTGAGGGGGTTCGCCGACTCTGGGTTCAGGATTTCAGGGAAAACCAGGGGCAAGAGGGACGCCTGAAGGCCAAAGGGCCTGCAAGATTTCCCCCCAAAAAAGGGTTTAGGCTTTAGGCTTTAGGGTTTAGGGTTTAGGGTTTGGGGCGTTTGGGGTGCCATAGTTGGCAACGCCGACGGTCAGGTAGAGCAGCCAGACCACGAGACAGGCACGGGAGACCTGGTCAGTAAGGGTAGATGTTGGCTGAAACGTGGGCGTGGATCCACTAGCACAGCTTGCACCCTAAACCCTAAAGCCTAAACCCTAAACCCTAAACCCTAAACACCAGCGGGTGTAGGGTTTAGGGTTTAGGGTTTAGGGTTTAGGGTTTAGGGTTTAGGGTTTAGGGTTTAGGGTTTAGGGTTTAGGTCATGAGCCTTTTGATCCAAAAGCGGCCGTGACGGCGCCGAATGTGCCAGGCGTGAACAGCCCGAAGATTTTGAATACTTGTTCACTGACTCTACGAGGAGTAACCGATTTTAAATGTAACTACCTGAGTTTGTGTATATTTCCTACCTGAGCTGGTGTATGTTTCCTTTCTCGGGTACACTATATATGCATATATACATATATATATATATGTATGTTGGCTGTTCTAGCTGCACCCCACCCGACCCCAACACTCCGCACGGCACTGTTTGCAACACATGGCGGCTCCAGCCACGCGACATCGACGTTGAAGTCAGACTCCTGCAGCCACTTCTTGCAACGCTGGTTTAGGGTTTAGGGTTTAGGGTTTAGGGTTTAGGGTTTAGGGTTTAGGGTTTAGGGTTTAGGGGTCAGTTTCATGTCGTAGGCTGCTGTCGCATTGACATTCTACAAATCAGGGGACGTCATTTAGCTTTTCCACGTCTCCAAGTAGTGCGCTCGCTACGAAGTTAGCAAGTGCGCCGGGAGGCAGGGTGCTGCCGGAAGTGCTCTCAGTTTCTGGCAGATTCCCTCAACTAGGACCCGGAGTAGGCCCTTGTTTCCTCATGTTCGGTCGGGGTTCCGTTACAACCCCTTTAAGACCAAAATGGGTGCCCTTATTACTTCTGGGTTACTCCTGGGTCTAGTCAAGGTAGTGTACGGGGCCAGGACCTCCCAAAGGCCGCCGCATGCAATGAGTGGCTAGCCGTGTTGTTCATTCGAGCGATGCCCGGCACCAAGTTGCGTAAGAACAACTCCTCAGAAAAGTGGGGTTGATGGGGTTTAGGGCTTTGGTTTTAGGGTTTAGGGTTTAGGTTTTAGGGTTTAGGGTTTAGGGTTTAGGGTTTACGGTTTACGGTTTAGGGTTTAGCCCATCCTGGAAGGGGCTGCCGTGAACACAGAAACTGCAAGGCCTTACCAGAATACACAGTGCAAGTCCTCGGAGAGGCCGCTTCCTTTCGGGTTTAGGGTTGTAGCCCTAAACCCTAAACCCTTTTAGGGTTTAAGGGTTCAGGGCTAGGTTCCGGAAGTTCCAGCGCTGGCCGCCACCGGAAGTTGCCTTTCAATTGCACCTTTGTGTGCTGGCCCTTGTTTCTTTCCTGTGTTTTCTTGGGCTTAACCCTAAACCCTAAACCCCTTAACCCCAACCACTAAACCCTCAACCCTGAACCAACCCCAAACCCTAAACCCTAAACCCTCAATCCTAAACCCTAAACCCTAAACCCTAAACCCTACACCCTAAACCCTAAACCCTAAACCCTAAACCCTAAACCCTAAACCCTAAACCCTAAACCCTAAACCCCAAACCCCAAACCCTAAACCCTAAACCCTAAACCCTAAACCCTAAACCCTAAACCCTAAACCCTAAACCCTAAACCCTAAACCCGAATCCATGGCCAGGATGGCCGACGAAACCTTGGCTGCGCCCGGTGGCGACCGGCCGAAGGCTACGCAGACCACAAGGGGTTTAGGGTTTAGGGTTTAGGATTTAGGGTCCCCAGTTTCTCCCCAAAAGTCCTAGTATGCAGTATCCTCGTGGAGCTGGGTACCCCAAAATGCCCTTTACAAACTTGGGCCTGGGGCATACTGGCCCGCAGAAGTGCGAAGGAGGAACCCTAAACCCTAAACCCTAACTAAACCCCAAACCCCAAACCCTAACCCCTAAACCCTAAACCCTAAACTCTACACCCTAAACCCTAAACCCCAAACTCTAAACCCTAAACCCTACACCTAACCCTAAACCCTAAACCCTAAACCCTTTGCTTCGCAACCTAAACCCTAAACCCCCAAACCTAAACCCCAAACCCCAAACCCCAAACCCCAAACCCCAAACCCCAAACCCCAAACCCCAAACCCCAAACCCCAAACCCCAAACCCCAAACCCAAACCCTAAACCCTAAACCCTAAACCCCAAACCCCAAACCCTGAAGCGAAGCAAAGGGTTTAGGGTTTAGGGTTTAGGGTTTAGGGTTTAGGGTTTAGGGTTTAGGGTTTAGGGTTTAGGGTTTAGGGTTTGGGGTTTTAGGGTTTAGGGTTTAGGGTTTAGGGTTTAGGGTTTAGGGTGTAGGGTTTAGGGTTTGGGGTTTTAGGGTTTAGGGTTGTAAAGCTTGCAGACCGAACCCACTCCCTCAAGGACCCCGAGGCGGGAGACAGCACGGCTGCGGGGGGGGATGCCCTGCCCTCAGAGGGTTTAGGGTTTAGGGTTTAGGGTTTAGGGTTTAGGGTTTGGGGTTTGGGGTTTGGGGTTTGGGGTTTGGGGTTTGGGGTTTGGGGTTTGGGGTTTGGGGTTTGGGGTTTGGGGTTTGGGGTTTTAGGATCCTGGTAGAAGTTTGAGGAGTTCCGAGTTTCATTTTTCATCTCAAGTCTTCCCTGCAGACCAGCTTCGAGTTCAAGCTCTGGGGGAGACAGGGCTGGACCCTAAACCCTAAACCCTGAACCCTAAACCCTGAACCCTGAACCCTGAACCCTAAACCCTAAACCCTAAACCCTAAACCCGACTTGACTCAGACGGGCTTCGTAGCCCCAATCTTCACACCGGGAGCTTGCGACCTGCGGGTTTAGGGTTTAGGGTTTAGGCTTTAGGGTTTAGGGTTTAGGGTTCAGGGTTTCGGGTTCAGGCCCTTGAGATATTTTGTGTTTTCCCTTATTGGCTTTAGCAGGATCATATTCCGGAATACTTTTCAGGGTGTTTGAGGGGCCAACCTAGAACGTCAGCTTTCTTGTGTATGTGGTGTGGCATGGCCGGCACGCGGCGTTCTGCGCACAGAGGGTGTCGTTCGCAAGTTCAGGGACACGCAGCTTGAACTAACCAGCACCCTTGGGTACTCCGAAGATATCCCAAAATGTTGCAATCCTTATTATAGTATAGCACAGAACCTTACAAAGGTACAGCCCATGCTACGTGCGGAACCCCCCCCCCCCCGGCCCGCCAAATCGGGAGCACACCACTTTGTGCGCACGACCGTAAACCCCTACATTCGTGTTTGTCTTATTGGAGGATGGTGGAGGTTCATGGGTACTTATAAGTCGGGTTATAAGTAGGGTATCTATGGTTATAACCTTGTTAAGTGTACTTCAGCTCCCACTTTTTGGTACCCACGAACCTCCAAACAAGGTCCGGCCTTGTTTGGGGTTTGAGTCAGAATCCCCGGGCCAGGCGACTGCAAAAGTAAAAGCAACGGCAGTGAATCTGCTGAAAACGATTCGCAACCTGGTGGCTTATGACTTCTTATCGGACTTGGGGTTCTCTAGGAGTTCTGATCAGCAGGGTTTGAAGGCTTGAGGTGGAGGTGAATGCCATGTTTGGTGAGTGATGCTGGAAGGGGGACACGGCCATTCTTGAAGGAGGTTGCGCATATAGTTAGGGTTCCCGCTCGAGGAGCAAGTTCTCGTGCTTGTCACTGGCTCATGCTTGTGGAATCATGGATACTTAGGGTTTAGGGTTTAGGGTACAACTAGCTTCATGTACAGCTAATCGCCCTACCAAGCAACCCCAGTAACAAGGAACCATGGGCTTCCATGTATGGTGATCCTTCAAACATCTGCTCCCATGGCTTTTTGCAACTCACGAGCTGCCACTAGGCTTGTGATTTCTGGAAAACGCAAGGTCCAGTGAAGCAGAAAGGCACGAAGCAAGCATTGGGCATTCGACCTTACAGGTTGCCAACAAGATGACGCTAACTTACCAATGCTCCGAAGCCCTAAACCCTAAACCCCAAACCCTAAAACCCTAAACCCTATAGCACGCTGAGGCAATCTGGGTTCAAGCCTCCCAGACATCTCTCCGGGCATCGTCACTAGCTTCAAGCTGCAAGATGGTTTCAGGGCAGTTTTGGGTCGTGCTAGCGCTCAGGGTTTAGGGTGTAGGGTTTCGGGTTTAGGGTGTAGGGTTTAGGGTACCCCTACAGACCCTATATCTAGAAGTTGCCCTAAACCCTAAAGCGGCTATAGAATGACCGTATCCTCTGGCGATCTCACAGGCCGTGAGGCCTTGTTGAAGCTCAGCCGTTCTAAACCCCTTTAGGGTTTTAGGGTATATTTCGGGTTTGTATAGGGTTTGTATATGTATTTATATCGGGTTAATATAGGGTTTAAAAATAGGATTTTCATAGCGTTTAGGGTTTAGGGCTTTCAGTTTGGGCCCAAACCCCTCTTAAAACCCGAGAACCCCAAACGCTATAAGGGTCACTTCTCAAAGCGATGGTCCCTTCTTGGGCACCCTAAATGACAGGGGCCTTATTGCCCTAAACCCTAAACCCCAAAATGGGACCACCAGTGAGATTTTTTTTGCCCCAAACTTGACATCGCCCGGCTGGTGGCACCAGCCTAAACCCTAAACTTCCTTAACCCTAAAACCCTAAAACCCTCAACTTCCTAAACCCTGAAAACCTAAAACCCGAAACTTCCTTTTCCCTAAAACCCCAAACTTCCTAAGCCCTAAAACCCCAAACTTCCTAAACCCTAAAACCCCAAACTTCCTAAACCCTAAAACCCCAAACTTCCTAAACCCTAAAAACCCTAAGCTTCCTAAACCCTAAAACCCTAAGCTTCCCAAACCCTAAAACCCCAAACTTCCTAAACCTTAAACCCCAAACTTCCTAATCCCCAAAACCCCAAGCTTCCGAAGCCCTAAAACCCCAAAACCCTAACCTTCACGAAGTTCCTACACTTCCCAAACTACATCGATGTGCAGTACCGGATCCTAGCCTAAACCCTAACCCCGACTCCCTAAACCCTAACACCCTGTATAAAACCCTAAAACCCTAAAACCCAATGTAAATCCTATACAAACCCGGAACCCTACACCGCCAAACCCTGGACCCTATCTAAACGCTAAGCTCGATATAAACCCTAAACCCTAAAACCCTAAACCCTATATACACCCTATATAAACCCTGTATAGACCCTATATAAACCCTGTATAAACCCACAAACCCTACATAAACCCTACGTAAACCCTAAAACCCCAAAGCCCTAAACCCTATGTAAACCCTAAAGCCCTAAAGCCCTAAACCCG